GATTATGAGAATGATATGGAGAAAGAAGCTGTAATGGATCAGAAGAGTGACTTTGAGAGTTATCTGGACCCACAGAAGGGAAACATCAAATCTCTGAAAACTTTTCTGAAAATAGACAGGGAGAGAATAATAAAAGATTACTACTTGGGTTTTTATGTGGAGAAGCGACTGAAGACTGAGCCTTCCAAAAAGAAGAGAAAGAAATTCAAAATAGATCTATCAGATCAGGGTTAAATTGTCTATGTTTTGATCTTGGATTGTTAATATTGAATTAGACCAGGACTGTAAGATAATGATTTATACCTGTAAAAGTGATTTGTTTGGTTTAGTTTAAAATACATGCTATTATTATTGATCTTTTGTGTGCTTAAGGGGAGAGATCTTTTAGATTTTACTTTTTAGAAAAAATTTAGAAGTTAAAATGCAAAATAGACCTATTTATTTAAGCTTAAAATATATAGTTTGTTATCATTGGTGCTCTTAATGTTTTTGTTGATTAGATTGATTGTTGAATATTTTTCATAATTTGGTTATTGTTTATGGATGAGAAAGAGGAAGAAGGGGGCTTTTTTTAAGTAATATTAGAGAAGGCGTTAAGTTACTGTTAATGCATATACTTGTTTGGAGGGAGGGGGAAGTCACCTTTTCTCTCTCTCTTTTCTCTTTTTTTCTCTCTTTTTTTCTTTTTGCTTGTAGGTCTCTTAGTTTTGTATTAGTATGTGTGTGTGTGTGTGTATATATACTTTATATACCTTATAAACCTTATAACCTTATAAACTTATATATATATATAAGATTATATAAAATTATATATATATAAACTTTAATAAAAGTATTATTAAAAAAAATTTAAAAGAAACAACCAAAAATAAGAAAAAATGTCCCTGACTTTCAACTACCAATTGGGGAAGTCTTTACTAGATCAATACATGAAGTTCTCTTTTGTTCCTCAATATTTGTTATCTGTGCTGGTAATATTTATCTGGAATAAACTGCAAACCTCACAGCTTGCTTTCAAAGGGAAATTGTATCCTTGATGCTAAGGAATTTTCTACTCAATAGGTGCCGTGGAAAGAGGATCACTTAACTGGGACAAAGGAACAAAACTGTTTGGAAAAAATGGAAAATAAATTTGTTCCTATCTAATATCAATCTCATTTGTTAAAATATGTCTCTTAGTTGTATCTTAATATAAGATTTCTTGTGAACATGCTGAACATATATTTTAATTTATTTTCTCTGCAGTTTATTTAGGTTACAAACACACTTTATTTTTATAGCTGTTCTCATTAACAGAAACCTAGGACAAAAACTCCTGTTTGGGGTTCTAACTAGCTAGTCATGCTGAAATCCTATATTCCATAAATCCATTCACATAGTTCATTTGCACTCCATGGTTTCTGGAGACCATTGAGCACGTTTACTTCTCATGGGGCCATTTAAAGAACATGAGAAAAGCAATACTAGATAAGTTCAACATCCTGTTTCCACAACAAAGAACTATCTATAGAGAAACCATAACCTGAATTGCATAGGAAGTCAATATGAAGATAATACTTCTTTCTCATTTATTGTCCTATATGAAGGCAACATTTTAAAAATTACTTACTGTCCTATAACAATTGGCACTCAGATCCTGAAGTCAGCAGATAGCCATTATTACTTGTAGCTACTGATAACTTATGGACTCCCTTTCTGAATGTGTAACATATGCTGCATATGTCTGCATGTTGGCTGCCTGGATTTGCCATCTTGTTTATTCTGTTGTATTTTTCTTTATCATATTCTATCTTGTTTTTCCTTTATTGTGAGCTGCCCAGAGTCAGTTTGGAGTCAGATGGCACCAAAATAAATTGAACCAAATAAATCATTAAGTTTACCTTCCATGAATTGATCTAATGCCCTCTGGTGCACAGTAGGTCAACATTTTCACTAATCTACCTGCCCCATCCCCCATGCCCTCTTTCCTAGTCAGTCACTGCTAGCTCAGGCCATAAAGGGATTGCCTTTTTGGATGTTTTGAAAATATATTTTTGTACTTCTGAAATTTTTCTGTTGCCAAACAGGCTAGTGTCTTTTCATGATTCAATTTCTGTACACTACAACTGCAGCTAGAGTCTTTCTTTCATGCTTGAAGTTTATTCAAAACCACAATAATAGATGCAGAGTTGAAAAGAATAGTTAGATCAAAAAGTTGTTACCAAATCCAAGATATTAGTATGACTATCGAGAGCTAGTATAGCCAAAGAACTATTAGAGACATGAATTCTTTTAAACATGGGTTTTGCTCAATGAAAACAAAAAGGACCCCAAAGAAATGCAAGGAAAAAAAAAAGACTTTGTGAAGTATATGGAAAAGAACTGTGAGACAAACATTTTTTAAAAAACCAGTTTATATTTGTAGCAGGAGATTGAGCTGGGCTGCTGGATAAGAGGGGCCCTGAAGTTATACAAAGGAAGGATGAGTAATTTCAGAAAAACTCAATGAGTTCTTTGCATTCACAGCTCCGGTTGCATCTGAATTGATCTTCTTGGTGACAAAAATAAACTAATCAATGGTTCTGGATAGTATACAATGAAAGACTCTTTAAGTAATTTGAAACCAAAAGCAACAACTCCCTAAAATTAGCACTTAGCCTCAAAAACTATAAAATTAAACAATGTAAACAGCCCATTGTGGCGTGATTCCTGCCTGGAGCTTGGTTTAGAGTCTGGCCTGGAGTTCTGTAGCAATTAGACAAGGAGCAACAACATTGAGGCAGCACCTAATCCTAACAAGTGCAAGAACTTTTGGAGGGAGGCAAAGGTTGTATGCCACTTTACAAACTTTAAGACTTGTTTGTTATAAGGACTAACCATCAGCAACTTATTTATGTGGCTACATCAACTTGCAAAGCCTAGGAGGGTGGAGTTAACCCAAGGAAACAGGAAAGATGTGTCCTACAGTAAAGTATTTTGTACAGTTATCTTCTATGCTGTAGTGCATCTAGTCCTTGAAAAACAGAGAACCTCACAGGGGTATACAGGACATTGCCAACTAGTTACTATGACAAATATTCTATATGTATTGGTAGAAAATTATTATTAAAGAGAAAGTCAGATACAGAAAAAAATAGGTCTTGCTGAAGAAGAACCGACACAGCTTCTACAAATGTAGATGTTCTCACTAAACTTCCAGACTTTGTTAACCATGCAGATGGAATGATATAATAGTGCATACTTTCAAAAAGCTTTGACAGACACCCACCAAAAACTCCTAGAAAAATCCAGCAGTCATGAGGTAAGTGTTAAGTCCTCTCAAGGACTGGTAACTGATATAGCAAGCAATCCATAGGAATAGATAGACAACTTTTATAAGGAAGACATGTGCAAAGTGGCTCCCCAAGGACTTCTGTTTGTGACCACTGGAGTTAGGGGCAAGTAATGAGATTGTAGTTTGTTTATGATACAAATTATTCATAGTGGTACAATCACAAAGACTGAAATAGGTGAATAAACTTAAAATGACAAATGCAGTTTAATGCAATAAATGCAACGTGATCTACACTGGAGTATAAAACCCAAACTCAAATACATACTAATGTACTTTGAACTGGTAGTAATATTCCCCCTTTGAATCATAGGAAACAGCTCCATTAACATTTAAACAACCAACTTGCAACAGTAAATTCTATGCCACAGATCACTACAAAAGCAACTGAAAATAAAATTGCCAATAGAGTAATGCCCTTAGGTGAATCTATAATGCAAACACTTTGGGGATATTGTGCAAACTTCGAGTTACCACATCTCTAAAAGACTACTGTAAAGCTGGAAAAGATACATAAAGGGTACCCAAAATAATTAGATGTCTAGAGTGGTACACTATGGAAGACTATAGCACCTTTAGCTTGGGAAAAAAAGGTTATATAAAGGGATATAAAAGTATGCTTGGTGTAGAAAATGTGGACAGAGAATTTTTTCCCCCTTTCTCATATTACTTGTTTGAGTTATACACTGAAACATATACAGGAACATTCAGGGCAAATAAAAAGAAGTAATTTTTTACACAAGAATTCACTGCTACCAAGCATGATAACCACCAGTTATCCAAATCACCGAAGTTTTCAGAATCTGTCTGAAAACAAATTCACGTAGCATACAGTTATCAATGACAACTATACTTAATGGCTTTACTGCACTTGTAGACTCAATATCATAAATATCTCTTCCTCAAATTATAGTGGAAAAAGGCTATGTGAAGTTTCTAGGTTGCATCTTGTCGATCAGACTTTTGGCTTGATCTAATGAGATTCTTTTTATGTTCTAACGTTGGCACCGATGCATTACATTTGCTCTTAGATGAAGTGATTCTTACATCCAACACCTTGATTTTCTTAAACCAACCTGGTTCCCAATCTTCTGGTCCGTAGGCCCATGAAAATTGACCTTATTAGTTTTCCAAAAGAAGCAGCATTGACAGGGTCCAATTTATGCTCCTGACAGTGTCTCAGGTAATGGTTGTAGAGAGTACTTCTGGGAAGGCTCACTCCTTCTGCTGTTTCATAGTTGTCTAAAAGCCACTGAAGCTATTTCAATTTAGGGACAAAGAAAAAAAAAATGACTCAAGACAAGTTCAAAGAACAATTAAGAGGCTTCATTAGAGATTAAACAATAGTTATCGTCTGAACTAGCTGCATTTTTTCCAACTAGAGGATAATTCTCCCATGTTCAGTGTATTACCTCATTATGATTTTATAGATAATGGGAAAAAACTCACTTGTGACCTCAGACAATACTAAATACTTCAACAAAATAACTGCAATTTCATTTAAAGTGTAATAATATATACTTTGACAAAAAGTATTAGCCCTTGAGAAAATCTGAGCAATACTGAAGGTTGTTTATACAAGCAAAAAAGAAATGATATTTATGAAGTGAATAGTAACACAATGTGATGCCTATGTATTATGGGACTACCAAGTTTAAGGTTATTGCACAATTTTACTGGAACAATAATTATATTTTGCTTTGTTAAAGAGCAAATTCTGCCCTTGCAAGTGGTTAAGAGAGTACTTAATTTCATTGAAAATTTCATTTGGCCTTGTAAGCTATTTCTCTCTTTAACTATTTTATTTGTTTTACATGTGAAACAAGACAGGCCTATATTTAATAGTAATAATTATACATGAAGAAGTATATTTTACATACTTGTGATATATATAGAGCAGAATTCACTTAACAAGGGAGAAAGCAAAAGACCCACTTCCATAATATATAAAATAGGGCACTTTTATCAAGAGAGAAAACAAAATATCTAATTCAATAAAAATCACTTTAGCTATGTTATAGTTATAATGAAATGAAAACATCTAGAAAGAGTTAATGTTAGGGTTCCTTAATTAAGTGAAAATCTAATTTTCCCAATACTTCAAGAGTAAAAATTGCAAGTCTTCAGATAGCATCCCCCTCTTACACTTGACTCTGCAGAGTTACTATAAAGATTCAGCTGAGGACAGGTGGTTCTGATGCATCTGTTTTGGGTGTTACTGAATGATTTAATCATACTATCAAAAGAGACAAGGAAAAATAACATATTTTGTAGAAACGCAGCCAGAATAAGGTGACATCTGATTAAATCATACACAGGTGTAATAGAAAGCTAGATAGTGGTACTAATTGTTGTTGTTGTTGTTATTTCTGAAAGTTCCTTTGCAGCAGCATCTTGGAATAATACATTCATTTCTCCATCCCTTGCAGCGGCAAAGGAAAACAATTTCTATCTAACCTTGGGTTTTTAATACTGATGGTATTATGGTGGACTTTTTTGTATTCTTCAAAATGTTTATTTTTCAAAAACATTTCCTGCTTACTGTACATTAAAGCTGGGCAAACTGAAAATAGGCATGAATTTATTATAAAACTCAAAGCAATATGATGCACAGGCAGCACCCCATCTGTGTTAGATCCCTTGGAAAAGTGAATTATATAAAGCAGTGGAAATTGCATTGCCTCTAGTGCTGAAGTAGATTAATTCATTCTAGTCATCAGACCGCTCTGAATGTCAAAAACCCCCAAAGCAACTAAGGAGCAAACCCCCCCAAGGCAACCCCCTCCCCCCCCCCCACCCCCCCCCCTTTACCCCTCGATCCCTCCTTCACATCTATTACTACACGAAATAAAAAGCA